GGCTCTCTCCCGTTCTCTGCTGTGCACCTTTTTGGTCTAATTAAGCGCCACAATTAAGTGCAAATGCGGCTCTCGGAGTATCTGTAGCTCTGTAGCTCTGTAGCTCCGTCTGTGTAATGTGCACCGTAATTACGCACTGCAGCAGACCTCTGCTGCCACTGCCGCTGCCACTGCCACTGCCACTGCCACTGCCGCCTTGTCTAGGGGGAGGGGGATTGTTACAACTGTTAATTTGTGGTCAATACCACACGTTATTTGACGTCGCTCTTGTCGGAAAATTACCTTCCCTGGGGCGGGGATTTTGTGTTTTGTTTTTTGTTACCTTTTTGGCAGGTGAGAGAAACCTGCTACTGTTGCCACCAATGCCACCAATGCCCCCATTGCCACGACACAGACCAGGCCAGACGAGACCAGACCAGACCATTGGCTGTCATTAGCCGTTTGTTTATTCCCAGTTTTCATTCAGTTAATGACTTAATTTCACCGCACAAAAACCTAAAAACAATTGTTGGGTAATTTGGGAAAATGCATAGAGAATGTCCCCCCAAAAAAAAAGAAGTAGAGGGTGGTTTGCTGATTGCTTGGAAACGAAGAGAAGCGATAGGAAAACCAAACAAGAGAAGGAGCTAAAGCACTCACAGGTGACCAGGAAATTTGGTGTTTCACTAAAATATAATACTCCGAAAATGGGACTTTTCTGCCCAAGGCCTTGCCTTTGCCTGCCACATTTCTTTGGCCAACTTTTGTGTGGCTTTTATCTGAAATTCAATTAAAATCCGGGCGATAGGCCACCGGTTAATGCCGCCCAAAACTGTCGCTAAATCATTTCTTAATTGCTCAATTTGGAGACACACACACACACACAGACACACACACACACACACAGACAGACACGCACACAAAGGCAGTCGCCATTTAATTTAATTGTGTGGACCGTTAATTGAGTCGTACTTTGGGCAGTCCGTTGGCTTTTTATTTCGGCACGAAATGCGGCACTGCGGCACAGCCCCCCAGCTGCCAGCCCCCGAGCCCCCAGTGCCACGCCTCCCTTCTCGCTCCATTCACAAAATCCGCGATACGCGATGCCCGATTCGCGATTCGCGATGTTAGATAATGTTACAGCCGCCTGTTTCTGTTTCGGTTTCTGTTTCTGTTTCGGTTTTCGTTTGAGCGGAATGTTTCACGGGGGCAGGCAATTAAAACAGGAAAAATGGAAAATGCTAAATGCAAAATGCAAAATGGGAAAACTCTGCGACAGTTTTTTGGTGGCAGTGCAGCTGCAGTGCCAGGAGGTGCCGGCGCCGCCTCCGAACGTGGGCTGTTGCCAGCCAATTTTAATGATTTACAGCAAAACAGGCGAAAACTGTGTGTGGCACAGCACGGGGGAGTGGAGGGGACGGGGGCCACATTAGACGGCGGCAGGTGGTGTCGAAATTTGCATATAAATATCGTAGAAAACGAATGCATTATCCGATAATGTAATGTGCTTGGAATTATGTCGCCGTGGCTTTCGGCATTCCAGATACAAAGATACAAGCCTGTTAACCCAACAGATACGTGGCACCCCATGGTGGGGGGATGGCGGAATGGCGGAATGGCGGTATGGGGGTTATGAGGCGGGGGGCATCATCAATCATCTCTCTGCCATGCAGATCGATTATTACAATTGCTGACAGCCACAGAGCAGCCACGGACACAGAGAGCATCCATCTGCGGTCTGGCGGCCCCCTCATTTGTATCTGATGGATGTATCTTTCGGCAGCCGAGCAGCCGAACAGCCGAACAGCCGAACAGCAGGAGGTGCAACATGCTGCAGTTCCATGGAAAACAGCTGCACAGCTGAAGAATAGTTCTGCTCCGTGTCAAGTCCTAAAAGTTCCAGGAAAAACCCACAAAAAAAGACCCCAAGCCCCCGTTCCCCGTCCCCCGGCCACCGTCCACCGGCCCCATAAAAAACGCCATGTTCTGTGCCAAAAAACAAAAATAAAAGGCTGAAGCTGAAGCTGAAGCATTACAACTTTGGAACGGCTTGTCCATTGTCCAGTGTTGCAGTTGCACGTTGCACGTTGCACGAAAATTATTTTAATGAGTTGCCAATTAGGGCCGTAAGCCGTAAGGCCGTGGGCCGTGGGCCCGCTTCAAATAGATCAGTCATTGGAGAGTCTGCTAATAAATACCTGAATGAGTGGCTCGCTGGACCGCTGGATCCCTGGATCGCCCCTCGAATTGCGTAGAGAGCGCAGCGCCAGTGCACACCTGTTGCATGAATACTTGAAGAGTCGCCGCCGCCGCCGCCGAATGAAGCAGCAGCCCCCAATCGAGTGGCGCAGGAAACTCTGAGATGTCCCTCTGCTGCCCCTGCCCCCTGCCCACCTCTCACCCCTGACTCCTCCTGATGTCCGATGCTGTTTTCAGCTATATTTACGAGTCTTTTAGGGAATTACATTCACAGATCCGCAAGACACTGACAGCATCCGACAGGACAGGACAGGACAGAAAACAGAAGGGAATTCGCTCCGTATGGCCGTATGGCTGGAATGCAGATGTTGCATGCAACCGAACATGGCCATAACTTGCCCCAAAAGCCGGACGAATTTCGTTTTTAGTTGAATATTGATTCTTGAATTGCAATCTGATGAGCTTTTCGCCTCTTAATTACTCTTGAAATGAACTCCTACTCTTAAATGGCGTCTCTTATAATTGATTGGTGGCAATCAAAAGGTGCCTGCTATGCAGCTAGATCACACAGAGAGTGAGAGAGAGGGACACACACGAATAGAATTCCACGGGCCACGGCGCTGCTCTAGCCTCTCTTTTTTCTTGTGCTTTGCTGCGTGTCTCTTCTTTTCAGAGATCTCTCTCTCTCTCTTTCGCTCTCTCTCTCTCTCTCTTCGAACGCTTGTCTGTTGTTTTCCCTCTTGTTACTGCAATTAACAACTGGAGCGAGAGAGCCCTCGTTATTTCTCATTTCATCTTGTGTTTTTTCTTTTTTTGTTTAACACTTTGTGAGGCGCCGCTTATTAACGCGTTTCCTGCTGGCCACGCCCACATCCTCAATTCAAGCGAAAATTGCTTTCCACTCGCTCCCATGTTCTGGAGTGTTGGGTGGTGGCTTGAGGGGGTTAAGGAGTTGTGGAGTTGTGGAGTGGGGCGGGGAGGGGTTATTAATTACACAGTTTCCAAAGACTTTACGCAGTTTCCAGTTTTCGGAGTTTGCCTCGTGGCTGCGTGCTTCTTTTATTTGCCCAATTGAATTATTACTCCAAAGACAATGAAAGGGAGGGGTAATAGGGGGGAGGAAGCCCCGAAATACTGAAATACCGAAATAAGCGAAGAAGCTGGCAGAAGTGAAAGGAAAGAGTAATGGGGATTGGGATTGGGAGAGGAATTTGGCGAGGGAGAGGGGGCCATAACATAATGGCGTTTGCTTTCATTATAGCACCGACAGCAGCAGCACCGAGCAGCATAAATATTTAAGCAACTGACAATGAGATAACAAACGCTAAAGGCGGGGGGAGTGTGCGTTGGGATGGCACCGTTAATGGGGTCAAAGGAGGTGGTAGTAGGAGGGCGAAGGAGTCGGGGGCAGTCCATTCATCAGTTGGTGGCGTCGAGTAAATTACATTCATTTTGCTGGATGCCATTGTGATGCTCTTCGAGAGATTCCTTCGCTAAAGGAATTCCATGAGAAATTTTATAGAAATATGTTTGGAAATACTACAAAAATATGAAGAAATGCCTAAAAACGCATTTAGAGAAATACTAAACTAAAATACCGCAAAATACTTAAGAAATACCACAAAATACTTTCTACATTAAAATTTCACAAAATACTTAGAAGAATACTACTACTTAATATGAAGACAATCCCAAAAATAAACTATTCTTGTGTTTACCAACACTGATATCGCATGACATCAAACTATTTCGAAAGGAAGGGCATCTGATCGTCGTTTACCTTCAATTGCAGCTCTATTCCTGTCTCAAATTACGCCTCTTTCGGCTTCCATCAAAAGGATGTAAAGGATGGCTAAAAGGAAGAGGCGTGGAAAGGCCAAAGGGTGACTGAAATATTTATATGCGTGTTGATTTCTGTTTGCTGAATTTAACCTTTCACCCACCTTCCGCCCCAGACGCCCGCTCGGACTCAAAGAGAGGAGATCCCCACTTGTAGATAACGGTCTTCTCTCTCTCTCTCTGTTGCTCTCTCTGTTGCTAGGCGCAAAAAAAAGGGTCAAATACGCAGCCGCCATGGCAGGCCGCATGTGAAAGACCTTGTAGCGCCGCCACCTCTGGCCCCATAGTCATCCTTAACCCTCTGCTGCTCCCGTTGCGCTTGCCTCATTTAACTGCCGCCATAAATATTCGAAATCACCAGCAACGGGGGCAGACAGCGACAGCGACAGCCGCAAGTTGTTAAGATAATAAAGTTTGTAATTAATTTTGCATCGTTAAATGTTCCAGCAGGCACCATATAATCGTAGATACGACTGCAGATACACGTACACGTACACGTACTTACCGCTGCCGGTGTACAGAGTCAGTGTCTACGGACTCTTCAGAGTAGAACCGAAGAAGAACCGCTTTCTAGCTCGAATCCGAAGCCTCAAAGTCTCGAAGTCTCCATATCCATGGATCCATAGTTTTATGGGTACTATATGAAATGGCCTAATTGACTTTGCTCACGAATTTCGAACAGTTGCCCCTAGACTTTCGTCTTTCGGTTCTCTGTTTATCCTCAATAATACACACACACACACACACACACACACACGCACACCAATGCTCCCATTCATATTCATAACTTTTTATGAATTCATCATCTTTATCGCCATCGCGCCATAAAATAATGCATAATCATAAAAAAATTACATCCACTGTTGGGGCCCCCATCTGATCATCCAGTTTTTTTTTTCGTATTTTTTATTACGCAAGCAACAACCTACATACGGATACAAGATACATGTTCTATATATATATATACGTTTATTTCTTTGCAGATAAAGCTGGCGAACTTGGATGGGCATTCACCCTAATCATAGTTTCAATCATATCGGCTCTTATAGGTGCTATTGTAATGGTCATAGTTCTAAGATGTAGAAGGTAAGTCCAGTCCAAAGAATACCATAAGAAATGTAGAAATATCCAACAGGTATCCATTCGATCAGAATAAGATGAAAAATTATAGATAACATTCCATGTATAGCCGGAAATTATATTCCCACAAGCGATACATATTTCCGTATCGATATGTATCTAGACACGTCTGTCCCGCGTCATGCAGCCGTGCCCATCGGTGGGTTGTGATACATTTTTGCCTTACCTTAGAGTAAAAAGTAGATCCTTATTAGGTTCCTGATAAAATACCAAGAAAGTTCCAACGATATTCGTTAAAACATTGAACACGTATAAATATTTGAATATTTGAATTGCTTCGAACATAATCAATTGCTGCGATAATATATTTGACTCTTCCTCCCCCAGACCCCATAAATAAACCCATAAATAAACCACTCAAAATTAATTGGCCAACAAAAACAAATAGCAAAATATCGAAATAGCCAAAATTAGAAAAATTATGAATAAACGAACACATTTTGGCATTTAGCTAGAAAAATGCCACAATTAGTCACGATAATGTACTCGTATGATGGCAAAAAAAAACACACACACACACACGTGTACCTATGTATGTATGTATGGCTCCTCTGGAGGGACATTCAACTGTTAACCCCTTTGACGACCCCAACGATCCGTCATGCTCAGAGGCAGGCGACAGGCAGCGGCGACGGCGACGGCGACATTTACAAGAGCCAGACAAATTGAAAAAAAAAACAGCAACAACAACAACAAAAATATACATACCCGTAAGAGTCTCCCCGCCGCAGATATGCGCGCGAATATATACTGTATCTGAGTACTGAGTGTCTGAGTATCTGAGCGGTGGGATCTGTGTAACTATTGAGATTTACAATGCATTGCATTGCCCACACAGGCAACACCATGAGAGACCAAGCGGTACTATGCCATACCATGCCATACCATACCATGCCAGCAATTCAATTAAACGCCCACCGAAAAAGTAAATAAATATAAAACCTCTTAAGTGAGTCAAAGAACAGCGCGCGGTGGCGGTGGCGGTGGCGGCGACGGCCCAGGCCCAGGCCGCAAAATAATCGAAGACCGCAAAACAAAGGAACATGAAATTGCTTTATTACTTAATTGCTCTTTAAAAGAAACACAAGCCGAAACAGCAGTTCTGCCACAGGCGTTTCCATAAAAAACCGAGATACTCTGCGCCTGCCTACATGTGTGTGGGGGGGATGGAAATCATACCCATGCCTACTACAGTACAGACGGGGAGTCTATCAAAATGCCACATACAGAGTGGGTCACATACTTACTCGAATCAATACGAATCGAATCGAATCGAATCGAGACACAAGTACAGGTCCATTCAAATGGGTATTCGATCTGTCGATGGAATGGCATGGAGTGGCATGGCATGGCTCTAACGGGCGCGAGGGCGGTACGGTACGGTACAGAACAACTCACGCGAGTGCCAAATTAACAGAAATTTTTGTTGCTTGGTTTCTGGTGCGGTGCGGGGCGGTGCGGTGCGGTTTCTCCATCGATTGGCAGTTGCGCAGGCGCAGGCGCCGCGCTTGTTGCCACTGCCACCGCCACCGCCACTGCCACCGCCACTGCCGTTGGCTTCCAATTTGAAGTGGAAACGCTGGCCACATGTCGCGTCCAATTAAATTGTCATGTCGTCTTATTTGGCGGCATGTTTGCATAAAATTAATTTCTGCAAATTATTCGCCCAAGCCAACAAAACAAACAAATAAACAAACAAACAAATTTGAAATGCGAAATGCGAAACGAATGAGAGAATTGAATGGAGTTGTTTTTGGAGTCAAATGATGTGAGAGGGGCTTAAAACGGGGGAATCTTTCATAACTCGATGGGAGATGATTAGCTCTACCGAAGAAATAGGGATTCCTTCGGCCTTCGGAGGCGGACCGCAAGATGGGAGGCTGCAAGATCTAAGCTGAGACAGAGGAGTATGCTCCACACACTTTCTCTCTTACCTTTTTCCGGCAGTCTTGACCGTTATTGATCCCTTCTGTGGCTACGGTCTGGCAGAAGAACTAAGCAAATGTATGATATGGCTGCTCTTTTCACATCTCCGTGGTCCGGCACTGGCACTGGCACTCGTTTCGGAGGTCTTGTGGGAGAGCCCCTTCGGCTTGGGTGCTCGCTCTTTCCATGCATCCATGCTGTTCTCCTCTCATTGATGGATTCGTCTTTTTCCCACTTTCTTCGCTCTGGCCTGAAGCCAAGGGCCTCTTCTATTCCATGCTGTGCCTCTGCTCCTCTTCAACCCCAATCAACCTTAGACTACCGCAGTCTCTGAGCTCACTTGACCAGCATGTCGTTCGGGGCTGGTTCCAGCCCCATCCGCCCATATTCCGCCCGAAACTCTGACCAAATTTGCAGCACAATTAATTCACTCCCGTGTAGTCCATGTAGAGTTGTCTCAATCAATGGCAATTGGTCCGCCATTCTCACGGTTTTTGGACCAAATTTGATTTTGCATTAATCACCTATAATACCTGCAACCCGTACCCTTCGTACGGCCCCCCCTTCCCGCCCTCCCAGGCGGACTCGGTGGATTGTCACGCTGTTTACCTTGCCGTCAGCCTTAGTCACTCATTTTGGGGGGAGACTTGTTTTATTCGCGACTACTTTTATTCGGATCTGAACAACCTCTGGCTCCGGCGGTATATCTCTGTCGCTGTCGCATAGCCTCGGTGTGTGTGTGTCTGTGTGTGTGTGTGGCTGTGTGTGTGTGTGTGTGTGTGTGGAGCATGTCACGTCGTGGTTGGACGTGTTGGCTGCCAAATTAGCAGCAATTACATGTAATATCGGTTACACTTATTTGCATATTGATGCAGTTCTCGGCCCCACTCGCTCCCCGCTCCCCGCTCTAATGGTGCTATAAATTTGCTTGGCACATGTCCCCCCGAGTTTGGTTTTGTCTCTGAATCGAATTCGGAAAAGTCTCTGATTTGCCTCGCTTTGTGGGCCACCTTATTGAGCTTAAGTCTTAAGTGGCACCTGCCATTCGGATTTTGTCCGCTTATATCCGTGGGTCCATGTGTATTTTTCGGATATTTTTTTGACAATGTTTGCCCAATGTCTAGACATGGTAATGTCTTTGAAATGCTCTCAGAGCGCGACAGGCTTGTCGGGAAAATCTCAAAGTGCCACTGGAATTGAATTTTGTAATTGGCAATAGGCAATTGGCAATTGAAGGGGCAGTGCTGAAGGGGTTTTTGGAAAGGAGTTTTGGGTGAAAAAACACTGCAAGAGAAAGACTTCCATCGAATCTGAGGGCCTTGCTGGAGGGGATATCATTGCCCTATCATTCCCTTGGCGTTTAACTAATAGATTCCCAAAAGTCCTTCATTATTTGATTTAAGGTTAGATGAAGAAACCCATGCGCTCTCTCTCTCTCTCTCTCTCTGTCCACAGGTTTCTTCTTTTTTTGATGGGGAATGCAGTTCTTTTAGGTGTTGCCTTCATTCAAAGTTCTGGCCCTTCTCTTTTAACTAAAAGTGCCCTCGATTTGACTGCTTTTTTGTTTCTATATCGATTTGATTTCAATAAACATTTGAATCAAGGTCCTCCTAGTCCGCTCCGAGCCCGCTTTTTGTTGGTTTCATTCGTTGGTTGCACAACTAAAAGTCAAGTTTAGAGACCGCTTAATGCATTTAAGACACAAAAAGGCGTGTTCAATTAGCATGCAACCAAAAAACGAAACCAACAAAACCAAAGAAACCCGATCAAACTCTTGGAAAAAGAGAAAAATGCCAACTACAAGCGCAGAAAATTGAACATAACGCAAAGGCAAAAGGAAAATCAGTGGAAAACACGGGGAGAGAAGAGAAAAGCACAGTTTGGGGGAAAATTAGCGCAGAGCCAAGGCCCCCCCCTGGTCGGAGTGGAGCGGAGTCTGGCCGCTTGTTCAATTTAATTGAATTGAGGAGAACAAAAAGGCTAAAAGGAAAACGGAAAAATCGAATTGCAAGTCGCAAGTCGCGTTGCGGTTTAACATTATAATCGATCAAGGCAAAGCGAGGGGAAAATTGTGGATCGACACAGCCGCATGAGGCATGAGGCAGGAGGCAGGAGGCATGAGGCATGCCGCACTGCACTCAATCAAATTGGACCGATTGGACAGACAGACAGACAGACAGTCGGTTAATTGATACGCACAGATCGGTGTATATATCTCTATAAAGATAGAGAGAGAGGGAGGGAGGGGGGAGGGGGAGGGAGAGGGGTGTACGTGTACGTGTATGGGCATTGGAGGTATCAGGTTCGCCCGTTGACCCAGAAAACCAGAGTGCAAACACTTGATTGAAGAACAACAACAAAAAACTGTTCCAGAAACCCCTCTCTCTGTGTGTGTGTCTCTCGCGCACACCTGCCACAAATCACTCACCAGCGGGCCTGTGCCTGGGCCTTTCAAATGCCAAAACATCTTCCTCTCGGCCATGATTTTGCCTGGCTCTAAACGCCTCGTATTGTGGCCCAAACGAATGCTAATGCATTTCTGTTGTCCTAAGATCCGAAGATATTCCGATAGCCAGATACTTTGTATCTGCTGCCCGTCGCACGCACGCAACGAGCGAGAGCGTGCCACCTCCTCCAGTTTGTGTCTTGAGTCATTCGTTTTGTGGTGCAACAAATTTGACATTTAGAATAAGTTTACTTAAGAGCTAATTTATGCGCCACTCTATTAAATACTGCATGTTTTTATTAATTGTTACAACATTTGTACACATTTTTCATTGTCCATTCTTATCTCGTTGCAGAATTAAATCAGCGAATGCCAATGGTAAGTGAATGAAGTATTACACATTTAATGCGAGTCTCCGGCGAGGGAATTGCCCTGAATTGAACTGGTGCAAGTCTTGTGGCCTTCTTTCACCAATTAATGGTTCTTCGAGCAACAGCCCCGTCCCTTCTCCCATCGTTTTTCCTTACTGAATGATCGTCGCTGTCATCGAACTTATTGCCCTTTCATTATGTATCTTTTTTGCTGCTGCTGCTGGCTGCTGCTGCTGCTGGCTGCCCTTTCGTGACTTCCCTGATGATCATCACTCGGTTGGCCTTTTTGCCATGCCTGATTAATTAGCAACCAGCAAGCATCAAGGGAGGGGCCTTGCGGGGAAGGAAGGGTCGGCCTTTTACTCGGAATTTCCATTTCCATTTTTAATTGCATAATTCTGGCGTTGCATGCGATTCAAGGAGGAAATCCTTCATTCTGTTCCCTCAGACAAGTGGCAAAAACATTTTAATTTGTTCAAGAAAATGAAGACAAATTTTTTGACGACAATGCATGAACTTCACGTTCGTGCCACAAATCTAAGATGCTGCTGCTGCTGCTGCTGCTGCCGTTGCTGCTGTCTCCTCCTGCGGCAGCTGAAATTGAAACCAAGAAAAGGAAGAGAAAATTTGTAGACAAATTAAGGCAAAAACCCAAAACAATTGTCATGGTCGTCAAACACGTTTGAAAATCGTGCAGGAAAAGCTCTTTTTCTGTTGTTGTGTTTGTATTTGTTTTTGTTTTTGATTTAGTTGCTCGAATCGCGGGATTCTGTAGCTGCGGCTCTGCGGCTCCGCGGCTCTGCGGCTCTCGGCAGTAGGCGAATTATTGACAAACGATACCTGGACCCAACCCAAGCCCCAAAGGCCACAAGAGACCACCTCTCCCCACTCTTTCTCCCGCTGCACCCCTCTCTCTCTCTCTCTTAATCTCTCCCTCTCTTTTGTGCAATTCTCTGTGGAGCTTTTTGGCGCCAATTTCACTGTCGCATTCGTCGTCTCTCTGGTTTTTTGTTTGTTTCTGTTTCTGTTTTTTTTGGTTTTTTGTTTGGGGAGGACTGACAATCGACATGCAGGACAAATTGTTGACGGCATTTAATGTCACAGCAGCCAATTAGTTGTCCCCCCGTCGAATGTTTCGCTGTTTGGATTTTATTTTGGCAAAAGTGGCATTTCGTTTTCGGTGGTACGCACGGACTGCATGTGGCAGGGAAAAACAACTGGAGACAACAGCCAGAGAGACAACAAAACAATCGCCACAAATCGTTAAGCTGTCAGCAGGCTTTTAAAGCGCGTGATTATGTCTCCGAATGTTGAATGCTGAATGTTGAATGTTGAATGTTGAATGTTGAATGTTGAATGTCGGCGGAGTTGAGAGACAAGCGCCACAGCAGTTGCCACAGTTGCCACAGTTGTGCTGTTGCTGTTGTTGTTGTGTCTCTTTCTCCTTTTTGTCCGTGGAGAAAACTGTTCAAGCTGTTCATTCAACTGTGGCACACATTTTCCATTGAGACTATGGAAAAACCTTTTGGAAAACCTATTGCAAAAGCCCCCTCCCCCCTCGACTAATTTCCATATTTAAGCAGCAATCTTCTCTCAACAATTGCCACATTCTGCTGCCTGTCTGTCTGTCTGTGTTTCCCCATTGGAAATTCCTTGTAATTGCAATTATCTTTCTGAACAGCAGCCAACGTAGTGTCGGTGTCGGTGTCGGTGTCGGTGGCGTATGCGTAACATTGATTCGTTTTAATTATGCATTCAAAAAAGAATGCACGATAATCGGGCAGCAAAACCGACAAAAAACACCGAATGCCATGTGACATTTGTTGGCCATTAAACGGGCATGACACCGGCTGCTCCGCTGCTCCGGTGCTCGGCTGCACAGCGATTGGCATTATCTCTGGCCAAAATATCCAACTATTAAGACTTCATTACACATGTCATATTTGCCATTTGCCGTGGAACCCCAAGCGAAACTTGCCAAAGGAAACCCCCACAGAAAATCCCCCTCCGCCCCCCCTTCCCCCCCTCAAACACACACAAATTAAATTCCAAATCACAAAAATGCTCGTTAATATTTTATTTTTATTTGGAAATTCTCTTTGTTTTTTCTCCTTTTTTTTCTTTGACTGTGAAATATTTTGTTAACAACAATTTGCCGTTTGCTGGTTTTTGGCGGCTGCTGCCGCCGCTGCCGCTGAGCTGCTGCCCCGCGATAAGCAGCCACAGATAAGAGACAAGCGGTAGCTGTGCCACAGAACAGCAGCAGCAGCCGGGTGGCACAGTGGCACCGAAATGCTGCGGAAACTCTTTCTTTGAAGCGGCTTTTAGGGAGCAGCCGATGGGCGCTGCTGCATCCCTCGCTTACACGCAGGAAGCTGGCACTTTGCTCACACTTTTCTGGAGCCAAGATTGTTTTGGAATACGAATCCCCAATATCCCCAAATATTTCCTATAATTTCCTGAAGCTCCCCCGGGGGTTCTACCCTTTTTCTACCACTGTGCCACAGCATTGGGAAACCGAAAAAAAAGGTGGAAAAAATCGGAAAAAAACCAAAAGTGCAATGCAGTTACCTCTAAAGCACAGCTCTCGACTCGACTCGAATCGACTCGCCTCGACTCGCAATGGCCATGCAGCCAGTAGCTGCGGCAACATCGTTAACACAGCGCAAAAACAGCCATTAAATCGGAGTTGCACTTGGAGTCGGGAGTCTCGGGGAACGTGGAACGGGGGGGGAGAGCGGGGGAGCAGGGGGAACGGGTAACGTGTGTGTGCTGTTTTGTGGCATTGGTGACATGCACAAAATGCATGTATATGAGCACCTACATACGATAACTTTTTGCAGTTTGGGGGTAATAATCGCCACAGCTAAAGCCACAGAGTCATAGCCAGAGCCCCAGTCAGAGCCCCAGCCAGAGCCAGAGCTGGACATTCGCTTAGCGGAGTACGTAAATCATAAGCATAAAACAGACTTCGACTCCGACTCCGACTTGGAGTCGCAACTGGCAATGGGGCCTCTCTGCCTGCATTATGCATGTACATAACTTGGGAAGCTGTGTCCGTCTGTCCATCCATTCTGTTGCTGCTGTTGCTGTTGCTGTTGCTGCTGCCGTTGCGTATGCACCAGGCTAATTAGTTGAATCGGCCCAAGTGGCTTTCGCAAGTGGCTCTCGCGAGTGGCTCTCGAGTGGCTCCATCATTTTCCAGAGTTAATGAGAGTGAAAGGCGACTTAAAAATATAGAAATATATATATAAAATATAATATACAGCAACATTTATATAGATTTTGCGCAAACTGCTAGGCAAATGAGTAAACCCGAGCCCCAAAGCGGATGTTGAGAACAGGTCTTCCCCAGAGAGAGAGAGAGAGAGAGAGCGTTTTATGGCTACCAATTATGCGAGAGATGTCTATAAATTATGAGTTTAATGAGTGGCAAACCATATATTTGAGTGCTTTTCTATGGTTATCCTCTGAGTCACATCTTTCGGGGGAGATGGGGGCTGGCGAAGCAGGAGCTCCATTAAACTCCCAGGCCTTAAGATCACATGTGTTGATAGCAGCAGCAGCAACAGCAGCAGGAAGGAGAAACATTTGGCATTTTCGGCCAACTGGTGGTGCAACTGCAGTTGCAACTGCAACATTTTGCCACCTCGATTCCGATTCCCAATGCCGCAGCCGCAGCCGCAGCCGAAGCCGATGCCGATGCCGATTCCCAATGCCAGTTGACAGGCATTTAATTTACGCTTTGTTTGTTTGTTGGTTTGTTGGTTTGTCTATCTGTTTGTTTGCTGTCTTTTGTTTGCGTTTTTTTTATCCCTCAGCAGCAGTGTGTGGTGTGTGGTGAATGTTTGATTTATCGCCCGATTATAAACCGAAAATGTCAGATAGATTTTGTTGTGCTGCCGCTGCGTTCGGATTCCAAGCCGTCGACTCATTGCACTCCATCCATCCCTCCCAATCCCTTCCACAGGTGGCCGCCCGCAGCCCTGGTGGTGTCGCAACAACCGGAATGGCGGCCAGAATCGATCGCCCATCTCCATAAAGCACTCGGCGGACAGCATCCGGCGGCCCACAAGCAACTCTGGCGTCTGGACCTGGCTCGGCGGCAGTCGACGCTCTTCCGCCGGCCCCGACCAGATCGGCCCGCCATCCACATCCCCGGCGGAGAACCACTATACCCACATGGATGATGCCTACAGTCCGGTGGGCGTCAGCGAGGCCCTCTACGCGGAGCTCGACCGGGAGTCGGTGCGCTCCGCAAATCCCTCGTACCAGAATACCGCCTACAGTCAGTGTGGTGAGGTCAGTATTGAAAAGTAGGCCTAACTATCGATTACCGAAGATACAGAAGACCAAGAGAATCGTTTGAGCAGACACAGACTTGAGACGGATATCCTAAAGAAACCCTCGAAAACCCTCTCGTGAAACGGTTGTCCTGAATCGGACGGAAAATTGAGCAGAAATTCCGAATCATTGATATATCATTGATCTCCCCCCGTACGAGTTCATAGTTTCATAGTTTTCTCAGTTCCCATCTGTGCTCAGCAAAATCGCCCAAAACTAATACCGAAATATCTCTGCTATCCTCCCCACAGAAGTACAATTTCCAGGGACACGAACAGGACATTCCCATGGTCGTCTCATCGGCACCGAGCAGTGCCTACTACTCGGATCTGTCGGTGACGGCCATGCCCGGCGGCGGTGGCGGTGGCGGGCCAAGTGGCAGCAATCAGGGGGCCTACGAAATCGTTGGACTGAACGTGATGTCACAGCCGCTGCCAAATTGGGATCACCATGGCGGTGGGGCGAATGCGGGCGGAGGAGGTGGCATTGCCACCACGGGATTGATGCCAGGAGACGCGGTAGCAGCGGCGGCGGTGGCAGCGGCCATGACACAGCGCCGAGCGCCACGATTGGCGGCCATCAACGAGACGAGCACCAGTACAGTGCCCTCGGATTATGTCTAAGAGAAGAGAGAGAAGAGATTGGAGGATGCGGAGGATGCGGAGGATGTGAAGGAAATGAATGTGAAATTGTTCAGCGAGCTTAAAAATGTTAATAGCATATAGGAATACCGTTATACACACCCCATAGCTTGTAAGAGTATATACGATTTATATAAGATTTATCTATGGATACGATACCATCTATCATCTACCATTTACCATTTACCACTTAGTGCTTAGGAGACGACGACTTGTGTCTTTTGGTTTAAATATGATATGATATGATATGATACGATATGATATGATATGATATAGGGGATATATTTATATGAATATACAAGGCAAGAATGTATTATATATCTAGTGTTTATATAGTCTATAAGCAACGATTTAATCGTGGGTGATATTTAGCCTATAATATGCTATATTCTTATGTTCTATATGTACTTTAAAGCATTTTCTAAAAATGTCAACATTTTTTCAATAGCCTTAAGGACGAACAATGAAGCGAAAATAGAAGACAGAAGCGAACCGTATTTCCCCCCAAAAACAAAACAACATATATATATATATACATATATATAAACGATATATACCATATACGAATACAAATACGAATACAACAATATTTATATACACACACACACACAACATATTTACAGCAAGAAATACAACCATTTAGCTCACAGCAAAAAGCAGATACAGATCCAGATGCAGATGCAGATGCAGATGCAGATGCAGATATATCTATCTACCTATCTATCTATAAAGAAACATATTTACAACGATTTTAATGCAACAGATTTCACAATATTTACGCAGTCGTGGGGGAAATGTGGCAGCAGCAGCAGCAGCCAGCACAGTGGCACACACATCATATCATTTACCACAATATTCAATATACTATATAGCTATCTATATACCGATATACACACAGATCACGAATCACAGACTCACCTTTAGCAGAGGTCGCGACGTATTGTATTTTAGTTTTTACGAATAGTAGCTCTCCTCTAATTTAAAAACAAAATAAAACACACGCATTTCCTGTACATTTTTTTTTTTTTAGTTGAAAATATAATTAAACATATTAATGCTATTTACATTCTGAATCCCAAATAAAAAATGGAGTTGTTTTTATGATACTCGTACTAATGGAGTTCGAGGGCAAAGGTGTGCCAGAGAGAAAAGGCGGTAGAGTGTTGGGTCTCATATACATATGTATGTTCTAATATTTTGCCTAAGGATTAACCTATGTATTGGATGTAGCTCATTTCAGAAGAACGGGATAACAATTACACCATATAGCATATTTTAAATTCGTGGTATCAGTATTTTCCACAAATTTAAACCACTCAATGGATGACTAGTGCTCCTACTTATTCCTACTGAATTCCACAGAAAGTTGACTTTAGAGCAATTCTCCACCCAGTACGGATATGCCCATGGGCACTACCGAAACCACAGGCACCACTGAGACCACAGGGACCACACAGACCACAGGCGTTGGCGGTCTCGGCCTGGATCTCTCGTGGATCTTTCGGTGAACGCGCAGAGTGGCGGGCTGGGTGAAACCCTTGCCACACTGCTTGCACTTGTAGTTCCTCTCGCCCGTGTGGGTCATCTCGTGATATCGCCTCGTGTGGGACCTCACGAAGGTCATGTTGCAAAAGCCGCAGGGAAATTTCCTGACAGCCTCATGGACCGCTCGAACGTGCGCTCCCAGATTGGTCGAGCTGTTGCACACCTTCGAGCAGTGCGGGCAGGACCAAGTGCGCTCCAGGGTGTGGTGATTGATGTGGACTTTGAGCTCGTTCAGGGTTATCTTCTTCTCGCCGCAGTGGGGACACGCGTAGTTCTTGATGCCCTTGTGTCGCATCGTGTGGTCCTGTAGGTGGTGCCGTTTCCGGAAGCGCAAGGAGCAGCCCGACTCCTCGCAGGCAAACGGCATTTGAATCTTGTCCTTGTGTGTGTACCGATGGTGGTTGAGCGTGGCCGGAGTGTGAAACACCTTGCCGCAGAACTCGCAAACGTGCGACTTGGACTTGGAGCCTATGTCGTGGGCTTTTCGCTGGTGCGCCACCAGCGTGCCCTTGTGGCGGTATTTCTTGTTGCATCCCTCCTGCTCGCAGGAGAACCAATGAACCGTATGTGTCTTCATGTGCTCCGTGCGCTGCTCCCGTCTATTGAAGCTCTCCGCACACCCAGGCTCTGTGCAGGGAAAGAGCAAATGCCCATCATGCTGCTGCTTGTGGATCTGGCAGCGTCTTTCGGTGGCAAATTCCTTTGAGCAGATGTTGCACGTGAAACGGCTGAGGAAATCCAGATTGGCGGTTTGTCCAATAAGCTCTACTGCATGTGGATCCGTGCGCTCGATATCGCCAGTGGAACGGTAGAGAATCTCTCGAAGCTTTAAAGGAACCTAGAAGATCGTGTAATATCCGTAAATTGGTCCTCGCTTGTGGTCTTCCACTCACCTTTTGTGGAGTTGGATTCTTTGCATTTTGTTCCTTGTCCTTCCTTGAACTTTGAGGACTCTTTTCGGCATCTGTGCACTCCACCAGCTCCAGTTGTGTGGACTCCTTGGCTGGAACAGGACTTTTCTCTGGTGCGGGTTCAATGGATGAAACAGAAATTACCTGTATGGATTCAATGAGGATAGGACTTGGATGTATGGATTCCATCTGTGCGACAGGGCATAGCTGTATGGGTTCCATGGGCGGTTCAGGACTTAGCTGAATGGATTCAATGATGTCATCCTCATCCTCGGTGTCCTCAACGTGTATCTCCCTTGCCGTGTCTTCTTTTAGTGCGCGCCATTTAGTGTCCGTCTCTATGCAGAGAGTGCGGAATGCGTAGAACTTTTCCAGCTCCTCGTAGCATCCACAGCACAATACACTGGGCAGAAGAAAATCCTGCCGAGGGTCCACCATCAAATTTGTGCAAGCGGTGAACATTGCTGCCGCTTTGGGGATTTCCATCAAGTTGTATGCCTCGTCCTCCCGTTTAACTCTGCAACAGCAGACACGGCATTTGTCCAGTTTATCCATTTACAAGGATTTTTCCCCAAGACCAGTGTGACCGCGGATTTATCGATAAAATATACCTCATTTTCAAAATATACCGTAAATATACTGACCAATTCAAGTTCTATTTTACATATTCCTCGTTTTTGACATTCCGTCGAATATTACTAGCTATATGGAAGATTTAGCCATGCCCACATAATTTTATACGATTGGTGAATCTATTTCCTACTTGATTGGCCTATTCGAAATAATTGTTTCATTCATTTCATTTAATAATCTTAAGTCTTAATAATACTTATTAATAATAATAAAGTCTTAATAATATACTAATCACTAACATCTCTATCGTCACTAACGATGTCGCTGGGATTTTTTAACAGCATTTCAGTGTTCGGTTCGAAATTCTCGCAACCGTTGTTCTTCCTTAGACATTGTCTCACATATAAAAGATTTGAAACATTTATATTTTTTAATCTATTTCTTCTATTTGTTTTTATTAAGTTCACTTCGGAGAAAATTCTTTCACATGATGCATTCGAAACTGGCTATATAAGCTGTACTTGTGAAAATTTTGAAATTGTTTCATATTTTATTTCATTGTTGAAATCTTTTATTTGTCCCAATGTATACCAGAAATGGCCAGGACTTTTGTGTGTTTTTAATAAACTAAAAAGAACCTCATCATTTTTTAAGAGGACAAAGTCATTATCGATTCCATGCGGATCTTTAATAAGTTGAGGAAATCTTTTACACAGGTCATGAAAATCTGATAATTGGCCATTGACTATGTCTTCAGGGTTTAGGAATGAGAGAAGGTTAAAACCCTCGTTAAAAGGCAACCTTTTCTTTAACTGCATACTCAACTCGATCAAAACCACACATATCGAAACGTAATCGATATATTTCACAAGTGTTGGAAAACGTGAATCAAATCTGCAGTGCTTCAGGGATTTGGCGACGTTTTCAAATCAAAGAGCGCGAAAGTTTTGACCCGTCACAAGGGACGCTGTTCGTAAAAGGGACGTATTGATTTGTTGTTGAAAGCTGGGGGATGTTATCCTTACGCGATCTCTCTCAATTATGCTCGCAATTTCATGATAGATGGGATAAGCATGGAGAGACAGAGGGAAACCATGACCGCTAGTTAATTCTTGAACTTAGCTTATGCGCTTTCCACCTACTACCTACTTTCTTCGAATTTTAATATATTTGATCTATTTTTATTGTACCGCTCTTTTTTATTCCGCAATGTCTGTCTCTCTCTCTCTCTCTCACTCGGCTATTAATGCTGATCAATAATTTATATACTTTATAGGGTGGAAAACGCATCCTTCTGGGTGTTATATACAACCAGCAAAAAACTAATATATCCCTAAACACCTCGATCATTGGGTATAAAAAACAGGAAAGTGAGAAAAGCTTTGAATTAAGTGGATTTTTTTCGTATCAGCATATACACCTATTAGCTGGTGCCCAAATTGTTGTTCTTTAAACATTGGAAACTATATTTGAAGAGTTGTCAGAAGTGAACTGTATTCAGCTCTGATCAACCTGGCCATCACACGGAGATTCAACCTTGTACAACTTTTAACCCGAATGTACCGAACGGCACGCTTCGCAATGCCAACTCTCAACATATGGCAGACGGCGCTGATCTTATTCACATGATCCCAGTGAGTCTGGTCGCATGAGACCTCCAAGCGGATTTCTGAATGGCTGCAGTTGTAGTTCCAAATACTTATCTGGTTTATTAGAAACACCGCGCGCAGCTGGATGACTAGCTCATTCGGGTTGTCCGTAAAACGGAGCGCATGGTGCTTTTCGGATGCCACATCCTCACATGGCAATACGACGGTCCGGTGGGGCAGATTCGTTCCGGTGTTCACTTGACCAATGGCGTCGAGCAATTTGTCCGACTCGATTATGCCAGAAGGACGCACCACATGCAGCAGATCATCGATACTCATGAGGGGGAGACGTACGAGCGAGACCACTGTCTTGATGTCCTCGCTGGGATTTTTGTCGCTCCATTTCCATACTGCTCGAAAGATGTCTACTTCGGGGACATTAAAAAAGTCACGTCGCAGAAATTCCTCAATTGATTGCTTGGTGAGCATTTGGAAGGAGTCATGTTTGAGTACGTCGTACGCATTTTGATCCATGAACGTCTGGCATTCTTCGATGCTCTGCTCCAGATCGCAGCGCTTGGCCGCATTTAGGATCGCGCACACGTTGCTGACGGACATCTTCTGCTGGAGGTATCCGGTTATAAGGGTCTCTACGTAGCCCAAGCAGTAAAAATGTGCCAAATCGCGTACATCGATTAACATATCCACGTCTAGTGAGGAAAGAGGTAGCTTGCCCGTGTAAAGGTACTCGAGGATTGCCTTGAAAGGCTCAAGCGGCACCTCAAGCCGAACTTCTCGTTGCCTCGACTCAAGCATGCTGCCACAGAGAAGGGCGCGGAAGTACTCGCTGCGCTTCGCCAGAACTTGGCGGTGGCCCGGCAAGCGCTGACCCTCCACCAGGAACTCTACGTCCGAGCTCATGTGGAGACTGGCCATGTCCGCAATGAAGGCGTCGAAGTTGTCGGCAGTTGTTTTCTGGGTGCTCATTTCCTGTTTCCTGGGCGTGAAATAGAGGATGTCAATATTTGCACTCCTTGTGTTATTTAAACTTACTTCATTTCGCTTTCTTAAATAATTTACGCTCACAGCTTGTCTTGTCTCTCGCAGGTGAAGTTGGCAGCGCTTGAATACAACGATTGGCTCCTATAGCGACCTATCGATACTTTGTAGCCAAGCCAATTTACTTGGTAATTTTAATTCTTATTACCGATCACCACAATCTACGCATAAGACAGTGGTAGAATGTTATTAACCGACGATACCGAACGAAGATTAGAGACTGCTTTAAAGGTTATGTACATATATATTTTTTTAGATTCTGCTTAGTCCGCGGCTTTGGATCTGAGAAAATAAGAAGTGAGAAGTCAGTAAAAGCGTGGTGCAGTATGTGTATGTTATCTGTATGTGTGATGATTAAAGTATAGATTTGAGGGAATTCCCTTTCTTTGTTTTCACAACATACCTTGTGAATTGAAACGTTTTTTCTCGAATAACGGCGCTATGATCAGAATATACCCTTGTAAGTCCTTAAAAAGAGTACATAAGAGTTTCTATGTAGTCTCACAGTTATGAAGCCAACTCGCTGAATCTGTCATTGAAAGGAAAGGAATATACTACTATTTATGTTAATATAAAAATTCGCACAGGAAAACAAAATAAATACATAAATCAGCTACTGAGAATGCACATCGAAATTTTGCATTCTGCAATGGTTGTCTCTCTCCCTCTCTCTCTCTCTCTCACGCTTCCCACAACAACAGCCACCTTTTTATCTCGCTCTCTTCCGACAGGGGGCGCACATTGCACGATGAAGAGAGAGCAAGAGATAGAGACAGAGAGAGAAGAGAGAATGAGTAAGGTAACAGTGTGATATCAAAGGAGTCTGGATGCAAGATCTGAAATCAAGGCTTCATTCAAGACGGACAGACATGCCAATATCGACTCGGCTACTGATGCTGATCAAGAATATATACCCTTTATGGGGTTGGAAACACTTCCTTCTGGGTGTTACACACGTCAACATCCACCAGAAAACTAATATATTCCCAAACTCTTCGAGCACCAGATATAAAAAACAGTTTAAATCCAAGCAGAGACCGCAAACTAATATTCAACGTGGCTAAAAAAACAACAAATGTATCAAAATGTATGATTTGTCAATGATCTAACCTATGGCTTGAAAGAATTCAAATACTATAACTCCTGGGATCTGCCTCTCAATTAGGATTCCACAACCTTAACAACAGGAGCCTTTGCCTGATCCCGCTCATGGATCTTTCGGTGGGTGCGCAGGGCCGCAGGCTGGACGAACCGCTTGCCACACACTGCGCACCCGTAGTTCCGCTCCCCCGTGTGCGTCAGCTCGTGGTACTTCCGCGTGTCCGGCTTGGTGAATCTCTTGTCACAGATGCTGCAGGCATAGCTCTTGGTCTTCTCGTGGTTCGTGCGAATGTGCATTTTCCTGCTGGTGGAGCTGTTGCACACCTTGGAGCAGTGCGGACAGGGCCAGGTGCGCTCCAGCGTGTGATAGTTGATGTGCAGCTTCAGCTCATTCTTTGTTGTTTTCTTGGCGCCGCAGTGGGGACACGTGAAGTTCTTGATGCCCCTGTGCCGCATCATGTGCACCTTGAGCTTCTCCTCGCTGAGGAAGCGTACAGAGCAGCCCGGCTCCTCGCAGGCATACGGCTTCACCAGCTTGTCCTTGTGCGTGAACCGATGGTGGTTGAGGGCAGCCAGGCTGTTCAAGACCCTGCCGCAGAACTCACACACGTGCAACTTGAGCTTCGGTCCGATTCCATGGCTCTGGCGTTTGTGCATCACCAGAGTGCCCTTGTGGCGGTAGCTCTTGCTGCAGCCCTCCTGGTTGCAGGTGTACCACGTGCCCGTGCCCTCATGCTCCCGCAGGTGTACATTAAGGTCCTGCAGCCGACTGAAGCTCTTGTCACAGCCAGGCTCTGTGCAGGGAAAGAGCAGGTGGCCATCGTGCTCTCGCATATGCGCCTGCAGGCGACTGTCATCGACAAACTCTTTCGAGCAGGTGTCGCACTTGTAGCTCGCACCCGGCTCTTCCGTTGGCGGAACCTACACGATCGGGGAATTCTTGCATGTAAATCAGAGGTTATTTAATGGACTCCCACTCACCTCTTTAGGATTTGTCTTCGTCCGTTTCCCTGCCTTTTTCTCTACCTTTTCCTTATTTCCTCTTTTTATTCTTTGGCAAGGGTTTTTCTCTTGGAATTCGCCATCGACCAGCACCACCTCGGTGGCTTCAAGGGGGGGCCCAGGGCTTTTCGTTTCCAATGTGCTGAGCGGCATGTCGTCCACATCGTCAAACCCGTCCTCTGATTCCACAAGTGTAAACTCCAATTCCACCAGTGTGCAAGCGCTTTTCTTCTGCAAGCGCCATTTATTGTCGGCCTCTATGCAGAGTTTGCGGAACGAATGGTACTTCTCCAGCTCCCCGTAGCAGCCGCTGCACAGCTCGCTTGGCAAGAAGTCCTCCTCTTGGGGGTCCACTACCAAATCTGTGCAGGCGGTGAACATTGCGGCCACCTCGGGCAGTTGCAGCAAGTTGTATGCCTCATCCTTGCACTCAATGCAGCAGGAACAGATGCGGCACTTGTCCTGATCGTCCATCTCAAGGGCTTTTCCTTGTAAACATCAGGAAACTCTGACTTCAACAATTTCTCTGATTTGTAATCTTATTTGTATATGTTTTATCCTTCACAGCACTGCAATCAGATCAGCTGTTCGCCCCAGCTGATTGTCGATAGGCAAAGTGGATAGAGATGAGCATACTTGTCAGCATATCCACTGTGACTGTAAAACATTGAAAAAATTAAAATTGAAAATAGTTCAATTGTTGCGTCACCATCCACTGGATATAGGAAAACTTTTATATGTGGCTATGCAATTTTCACACGTACATGTGAAAATAAAATGAGGCGATCTTCATGTAAATGTGACCTCTGACAATACTGTGACTCACGGGGGACTACTGAAACTCATCTCTAATGGTGGGCGGATGAAAACAAGGTTTATATTTTGTTTTTTCTTTCAAAAACGATGGACAACTCGAATGGAATCCATTACATTGAGCTGTCGCGGAATCCCATACGCTTCGATGCCGTCAGCCAGCTAACGAATGTCTTCTTCGATGACTCCAACAAGCAGGCAAGAACGGCCACACACACTTGAAAGGAATATTAAAGTCACTATCTGTCTTGCAGATCTTTGCTGTACGTTCGGGCGGTGCCACAGGCGTCGTGGTAAAGGGCCCTGTCCCCAACGAGGACACGGTTATATCCTTTTGCATGAACGATAGAGGCGGAGCCATTCGTTCGATTAAATTCTCGCCGGATAATCAAATATTGGCTGTGCAGCGGAAAGAGAATGCAGTGGAGTTCGTCTGCTTCCAGGGGGAGCAGCCTATGCTGCAGGACATCATCACGCATCAGGTGAAGACGATGATCCATGGCTTCGTGTGGATCCACAACAGGGAGGTGGCCCTGATATCCAACACTGGCGTAGAAGTCTACACTGTACTGCCGGAGAAGCGTCAAGTGCGTTCTGTCAAGTCCCTGAGCATCAGCATCAAGTGGTTCGCGTGGTGCTGCGATGCCAATGTCGCCCTGCTCTGCACCACCGAGGGCAACAGCCTGGTGCCCGTGCTGGTCAAGCAGAAGGTCATCACCAAGCTACCAAAGGTGGATTGTGAGTGATCCTCGGCTGTACTCTATTTACAAGTCTTCTTTAATGCCATTTCTATCAGTAGCCAGTCCCAGTCGCGAGGTTCAGGAAAGCAAAGTCACTCTCGGACAAGTGTATGGCGTCCTGGCGGTTCTCATACTCCAGTCGAACAGCAGCTCAGGCATGATGGAAGTGGAAGTTCATCTGCTAAACGGTCCAGGGTTGGCTCCCCGAAAGTGCCATGTTCTGCGCCTCAGTCTCGTAGGACGCTTTGCCATCAATACGGTAGACAATCTGATTGTGGTGCATCATCAGGCCACTGGGACATCGCTGCTCTTCGACATATCCCTTACCGGAGAGGTCATTCAGGATATCACGTACCATGCCCCCATTACAACGGGTCGTTCCATCAAACCCTTTGGCTTGAAGCTGCCCTCTCTATCGCCCGATGGACAAATCCTCCAATGCGAGCTGTGTAGGTAGATTCGAGGGCCGTTTTCTATATAATCTGATGCCAAAAGTGCCTTACAGATTCCACACATTGGGTGCTGTTCCAGCCGAACATTGTGATCGACGCAAAGCTGGGATGCATGTGGTACTTGAATCTGTGCATTGATCCGATTTGTAATCTGATTTCCGATCGCATACGTCTCACAGAGTTCCTGCTGCAGCGAAGCAGTGGCAAGCAGGTTCTGCTGAAGGTCCTCGGACAGCTGGTGGATGATCAATACAAGGGCACGCTGCTGCCCGTCCTAGAGACCATTTTCAGCAGGATTAACAAGATCTATGCGTATGTCAAAGTTCTTCCGAAAGTTTGGGAAACCCTTATAACCCTTGTCTTTCTTCAGCTCCTGGGTGCAGTTGGAGCTGCAGAATCAAACGGCACAGCCCTCGAACGTAAAGACATCAACGGTGAAGCACACCTCTCCCCCCATTGTTCTCATAGAGCAGTTGGATATGGTTCAGATATTCCAGAGGATAGCCAGGAGGCCCCACACCGAAACTATTTTGATGCTGTACCTCCAATCGTTGAATAAATTCAACATTGCCGCCCAGGAGGAGCTCTCGAAGATGATCATCAGCGAGCTGATTCACAATCATAGCTTCGATACACTGCGTCGTCTCGTTAGCTATTCCATGGTGCTGGAATCAAAGGCGGTGGCTTGCTTTCTGCTCTCCCATTCGGATGTGGATACGGCCATATCACAGGTGGCCATCGATATGCTGGGGAAGATTCAGGCACATGAGGTAAGCCACTATCTTCCTTGATGACTGGATTGTGTAAAATGTGTTCCTTCATTGCAGATCATCATTGAGGTGATGTTGGGGCAAGGCAAAGTGATTGATGCTCTGCGTTTGGCCAAGAATTCTTTGGGCCTTGATAAAGTCCCTGCTCGCAAATTCCTGGAGGCTGCCCATAAAACCAACGATGATTTGATATTTCACAGTGTTTTCAGGTTCTTTCAGATGAGAAATCTAAAATTATACGAGACCCTGGCTTTTCCCAAAGGTAAGTGGAGGAAACTATGTCCAATTTTCAAGATGCATCATTGAATATATTTTCTTTTTAAACAGCAGAACAGTGCACGGAGTTTATACAGCATTATAATAGCACCTTTCCTGTGGATAACTCCCTGAAACCTCAAATAAGTTGAGGAACTCTATGAGAAATGTGATTAAATGGGAATTTTCAGAGGAGAAAATCCCAAAATCCTTTCCACAATCGGAGTGCAATATAGAATATAATTTGATATTGTATTATATGCGTATATGTATAGTCTATAAATAACCTTTAAGGATATATTTCCCTGAGGATCAGATAGCATTCGCAACGTATTAATCGATTCACGTTGGTAAAAAGAGAGCAAGAGCGAGGTTGGAGAGTTGATTGCTCTCTACCTCTCTACCTCTCTCTCTCTCTCTCTCTCTCTCTCTCTCTCTATCTCTCTCTTCATCGTGCAATGTGTGCCCCCTGTCGGAAGGGAGCGAGATAAAACGCTTGGTGTTGTGTGAAGCGTAAGAGAGAGAGAGAGAGACACAACCATTGCAGAATGCACAGTTTGCACTAGAGCTAGTTATGTTCTAATGTTTGAATGCCATGGTTCCTCGAAGAGGAACTCTGTGTTTGACGCATCTTGTCGACGGCTTGTCGCGGCTCGCAGCGTTCCCTGTCGTTTTGTTTCATTGCGATCAAGGAATCCAGCTAAGATCGGTATTTGCTTTCTTTGAGTAGGGTTTTTGTATTCTTCTATCAGCAAAAACTAAATGTAAGAGACGTCACAAAGGTCAACAACCACAGTCACCATATGGAGCGATCGCTGATTGGAGGAGATGAAAGGGATCAAAAAATGTCGCTACCAGGGAGTGACCAGACACAGATGCCACAGGAAAGTGAGAACAACCTGGATTTTATTCGTATCAGCATATACACCTATTAGCTGGTGCCCAAATTGTTGTTCTTTAAACATTGGAAACTATATTTGAAGAGTTGTCAGAAGTGAACTGCATTCAGCTCTGATCAACCTGGCCATCACACGGAGATTCAACCTTGTACAACTTTTAACCCGAATGTACCGAACGGCACGCTTCGCAATGCCAACTCTCAACATATGGCAGACGGCGCTGATCTTATTCACATGATCCCAGTGAGTCTGGTCGCATGAGACCTCCAAGCGGATTTCTGAATGGCTGCAGTTGTAGTTCCAAATACTTATCTGGTTTATTAGAAACACCGCGCGCAGCTGGATGACTAGCTCATTCGGGTTGTCCGTAAAACGGAGCGCATGGTGCTTTTCGGATGCCACATCCTCACATGGCAATACGACGGTCCGGTGGGGCAGATTCGTTCCGGTGTTCACTTGACCAATGGCGTCGAGCAATTTGTCCGACTCGATTATGCCAGAAGGACGCACCACATGCAGCAGATCATCGATACTCATGAGGGGGAGACGTACGAGCGAGACCACTGTCTTGATGTCCTCGCTGGGATTTTTGTCGCTCCATTTCCATACTGCTCGAAAGATGTCTACTTCGGGGACATTAAAAAAGTCACGTCGCAGAAATTCCTCAATTGATTGCTTGGTGAGCATTTGGAAGGAGTCATGTTTGAGTACGTCGTACGCATTTTGATCCATGAACGTCTGGCATTCTTCGATGCTCTGCTCCAGATCGCAGCGCTTGGCCGCATTTAGGATCGCGCACACGTTGCTGACGGACATCTTCTGCTGGAGGTATCCGGTTATAAGGGTCTCTACGTAGCCCAAGCAGTAAAAATGTGCCAAATCGCGTACATCGATTAACATATCCACGTCTAGTGAGGAAAGAGGTAGCTTGCCCGTGTAAAGGTACTCGAGGATTGCCTTGAAAGGCTCAAGCGGCACCTCAAGCCGAACTTCTCGTTGCCTCGACTCAAGCATGCTGCCACAGAGAAGGGCGCGGAAGTACTCGCTGCGCTTCGCCAGAACTTGGCGGTGGCCCGGCAAGCGCTGACCCTCCACCAGGAACTCTACGTCCGAGCTCATGTGGAGACTGGCCATGTCCGCAATGAAGGCGTCGAAGTTGTCGGCAGTTGTTTTCTGGGTGCTCATTTCCTGTTTCCTGGGCGTGAAATAGAGGATGTCAATATTTGCACTCCTTGTGTTATTTAAACTTACTTCATTTCGCTTTCTTAAATAATTTACGCTCACAGCTTGTCTTGTCTCTCGCAGGTGAAGTTGGCAGCGCTTGAATACAACGATTGGCTCCTATAGCGACCTATCGATACTTTGTAGCCAAGCCAATTTACTTGGTAATTTAAATTCTTATTACCGATCACCACAATCTACGCATAAGACAGTGGTAGAATGTTATTAACCGACGATACCGAACGAAGATTAGAGACTGCTGTAAAGGTTATGTATATATTTCTTTCGCTTCTACTTAGTCCACGGCCTGCTTTGAGGGGCTGTAGGGTTGCTTCGTAAGCTCCCTTGGTCGATGTTGTGGAGACGGATCCGTATGAGGCTTATATGGTTAAATTTTGAGCTTTTGCTGGCTGGCAGCCGTAGTCACAAGCTGTATCGATTGTGACAATAGGGGTACTCTAAAAGTCGCAGCGTAAGATGTTGAACTACCTTCCGAACAAACAATTCATGAGTTATATATGTATATTCTTACAGAAATATCAAAGAAATTATATAAATACATATACATTTATTCCTCGAGCGAAGTGTAGTGGAATGCGACCCGCGCTAACGCGGAGTATTCCCGAAAAAGCCTCCGTTTATCATGCAAATTTATTTACGTACACATCGAAATATGGGAATAATATTGAAAAACAATAAATAAATAGAGGGCATGGGTACGGACGTGGAATATACAGAATATATAGTAGTGCTAACAGAAACGTCTGGGCGGGGCCTTCAGCTGCAGAGCACCCATCTCCATGGCCGAAGATGGGGAAAACAGCCGGCGATTGGTTCGTGGCAGCCGCAGGCAGCTGCTCGTTTGTCCATTGTCTCCTACTGGAATCTGCGCAAAGCAACGCGGACACTCTTCCACTGGCACTTGGGGGCACTCCTCCAGGCATTCCTCGTGCAAGGCGTGACCACAGCCGCCCATCACGAGGATCTGCGTGTGGTTGGACAGCCGCTGGCGGCAGATGCAGCATTTGGTGCTGGTTATCCACAAGCCACGCCGTGCCAAGCGCTGCTGCTTCACAAACTCCATATGCAAGTCCTGGCACAGAACCTCGGCGCCAGTGCGAAGTGCCTCCGTTTGATGCCGCGAACTGTCCAGCATTCCCATCAGCAGATCCTTGATGTCCCCAAAGCTGCTGTTCACGTTGTGGGGCGTGTTCATGATCAGCTGCACGAGATTGTGCAGATCGATGTGCTGCGAGGCCTCGTGCAGCATGGATTTCGTGATGGCCTGTAGCTGCTGGTGGGGCAGAATGTATTGCAACAGCGAGAACCAGCAGCGCTCCAGCTCCTGCGGGGGCAGCGTTCCAACGGATCGGGCGAGCAGAGCGCAGATCTGCCGCGCCTCCTCCACCGCCTGCTCGCCGACCGCATCCCTCAGCAGATCCATGGAGAGCTCAAAGGCTTTCGCATAGCTCTCCTGCTTCTCGTAGAGGTAGATCACAGCTCTATTAAGTCGATGGCGCTGTGCAATGGCAATGGCTTGCTCCAGGCGATAGCCGGAGTTGTTGGCTAGAAATTCCTTCACGGCCGCGGGTGTTTCCAGTTTGCAAAAGAGTTCCAGGAGCAACTCCATCTGTTCGGCATCCAGCTCGCACTGACGCTCATTGAGGCACTTTAAGAAGCAGAAAAGCAGAGCTTCCTCCTTCAGGAGGTTCTCCAGCAGCTCCATAATCCTCTCCGGGTAGTGCAGGGCTAGCAGCCGCGTTGTTTCCTTGGCATTGATCGCCAGCAGCTGTCGAAGATGTCGCTTCAATTGCGGATAAATGCATCTCTCTGGGACAGACACATGTCGTTCCATATACGCGAACATGGTCTCGTGCCTGGACTCATTCTGGATGTAGCAATCGAGGATGTTGTCGTACCGCTGCAGCTTCTCCAGGAGATACTCCACCACATAGTAGCATCGGGCACGCTCTGCCAGAGCCAGCTGCTCCTCGTCGGTGCTGATGTCCGCCAGGCAGTTGCTCGACAGGAGCTCATGCCAGGCACTCTCCCGCTCCGAGTGCTGGCGACTGCTCTCATTGTCGATATGCTCCTGGGCCAAGTGGCTGAGGACGCGCTGCAAGAGATGCCTGTCTCGCGGCAAGCATTGCATGGAGATTTGTTGGGCAATGAAGTTCAGAAGGCAGCCAATTTCCGCCCACTAGAAAAGAGGGAGAATTACAAAAACATTAAAAAAGGAGATCCTTCCATGAGGTTGTTCTGTGCTGTTCTCACTGTGGCATTTTCGGGCGTCATGATCTCCAGCAGCAAATAAATGATCCTCTTGCGGTGGGAGAAGCCCAGCTCGTTGCTGAACTCCCGCTCCTGAAAGGCCAGCGAAATGACATTTAGGGTCTCCCGCGTGTCGAACTTCAAGAGAGCCCGCAGATAGGGATACGGCGGCTCCTCTTCCTCGTGACCCGCTTTGGAATGCTGCGAGGTAAGACACCTCAGGACGTCGTTCTTCACCTGATGCACCTGCTCCACGGGAATGTCCCCGGTGGGATAGCCCCTGCCAGCGAGGCAGCTGGAAACGTAGACCAACAGACAGTTCCCCAAATCCGTCTCCTGGGACGTGACCAGAGGCAGGAGCTCCGTCAGCGCTGCAGTGTAGTCATTGAGGGCCTGCGTGTTGAGGTAGATCTGTGCGCGGTACAAGCGGTGCCGCTTCACTGCCTTCAGCACCTGATTGAGGTCCAGGCACATCCAGTCCAGCTTTAGGATGAGCTTCTCCAGCTTCGCAGGGGAGCGCTCCAGCCAGTAGTCGACCAGGGCCTGCGATATCACCGGATTAATGCTGTGAATGGTCTCCTTTTCGATGTGCTCCGAGATGTGCTGCAGAAAGAGCTCCGTGCTGTTGCCCTGCAGCTTCTCCCAGAGCTGTGTCCACAGGAGCTCCAGTTCCCCGATGGTGATCAAACAATTGACTATGGATCCCAGGCAATAGTCGGGGGCCCGCGCCGAGTTGGCTATGTATTCCCTGAACAGCATTATGATGCGCTCTTTGGCTTGGGCCCGCTTTCGGGGACGATCCACGGAGGCAACGTAGCCATCGAGGGCCAATTGGCAAGCCTCCTGCCATCGATGGTGCTTCACCAAGTAGCTAATCCTCTCCGACCACGTCCGCACGCCAATGATGTGCAGGGAACGGGCGCCCAGGACATACAGCTGCGTGCCGCGCGACACTACGGAATTGTAGCAGGCATTGCTCCCGGCCAGGGCGAACGCAGGAGAGACATTTCCCCCCGTGGCCAGTCCCTTGAACTGCGCCGAGCCGTAAACGAGTCCTGCATTGGCCATATCCATGCACTCGAGCTCCTTGCTGGAGCGCACATCCACCAGATGCAGGATCTCCGAGGTGTCCAGCGATGCCACGCACTTGGGTCCGAGCCAATGGGCGGAGAGAAGGCTTCCGTGGAGCTGTACGTGTCGTAGGTAGAGCAGCGTGATCCGCCCATTCGACACGAAGAGCTGGTGGAAGAAGAGCTGATTTCCACGACCCACAACGATGACGGGATCCACCGAGCGAGAGGTGTCCGCCGCTTGGATGAGCACCAGGTGCCAGGCGAGGAGTGGCAGGCAGTCGGGAGGCCCCTGCAGGACATGATATTTGATCACACGAAGACGCGGTCGGACTGTGACGATAAAGTACTTGGAGAGCGTCGCCAGAGCCACGATGCAATACTGATCGAGGTCATGCCGCCCCTGGGAGTCCATGATGAGAGGCTCCACGGCACAGACCTCACCACGGGCTCCAGAGAAGAGGCACCGGGAGCTGCAGCCGCGGATCCCCAGCTTTCGAGTGAAACTCAGCGACCAAACAGATCCTCCCGCATCCGCGCAGAGCGCCAGGGATGAGCGCGATGTCCACTTTACGTGCAGGACTCCAGTATTTGGGGTAATCACATCGAAGAGCTCTCGCAGAACATCCCCTGTGTGCGTGTCCAGCATGGCGACCAAGCCGCGGGCATAGCCTGCCAGTAGACGCGTGGAATCCGCGTTGAATGCGAGGCTGGAGACGGCTCCGTGGCCGTGCTTGTCCTGGTGGGCCCACCGCAGCGTCTGGGTCACATCGAAGTTCAGGATGTGGCCGTGTGAGGTGCCCACGGCTATGTAGGCGGCCACGGCACAGGCGCTGGCCGCTCCAGCGTTCACTCGCTCCCCCGCGGACGACAGTTGGGCTGATATGCCATGGAGGAGGGTGTATCGCATGATGGAGCCTCCGCCGCTGCGGCCGTCGCCACGGAGAGCGCTATCCTCCCCTATCGAGGGGGTGGGAGTGGCATGGGGCACCGGCATCCCCAGCTCTGAGGCAACGTCCGAATCGGCCTCAAATTCGCTGAGCACCGCCTCCAGGGTGGGCAGGACGTCGGTGGGCGGAATGGCAAACTCTGCATCGTCCAGCTGTTTGTGTCATTAATAAATTTTCAAGTGAATAACGATTTTTCTGTGCTCTTTTCAATGGAAAAACACTCACGTCCTCAAAGTCGAGCTGTAAAGATTCGGCCAGCAGGCTGTCGGTGGAGCCGCGATCCGACTCCAGCAGCGACTGCAGTGACGGTGCCTTCAACTCGGACATGCTGCACCCTCCGCTACGTGGCGTAATTGATTAATTATTTATGAATTAATGCGATAATGTTTTACTGAATGAAATAATTTTTACGCCCACCCCACCAGTGTGGACCGCGGATTTACCGATAAATTTATCAGAAATATACCAAAATATACCGTCTCACTTTCAAAATATATACTGACGAATTATTCAAGTTCCAAGTTCCAGTGCTCATAACAATGAACCACCAGCTCGCTACCTGGCGTCAATTCATTACTTTATGAAACTACGTAACGTTTATTACATTTATATGTTAATTTCAATAATGACTTTTAATTGTGGGTTAAATTGGCTGAGGTGAACCCAGTTCTTTCACTGTTTACTGTAAATAACGTTTTAGTTCATGAACCCAACTTCCATCCGAACCTGAAGCTCATACATGCAACGAAAAATTGTGCATCATATGCATAAGTAGGTCTAAGACATGTCAGTCTCATAACAAATCATTACTAATGTTTCAAATCAGCTTGGGAAATAAAATTTTAATTCAAATTACAAAAAAAATAGGGTGTACAAAAGTCCATATCGCCGGTTGACAAGCAACAAGTGTTCAAATGACGTAACATTTCATGCTCCCTTACGTTTCATTTCATCCTCGCTTACGTTTTATTCTTTGGGCTTTTTTGTTTAAACCGTGTTTTGGACACTATCAACGGCAACTAGTCTTTAAAATTAGCCAATCTTATAGAAAATGTATTTATTGATATGCTTAAGCTATGTGCTCAGTGCCGAGAGTTCTATCTAGCTAGTAAAATTAAACCGAATATCAAAATAAAGGAATACGAATTCCTATCAAGGACAGCGAAGGATTAACCCATTGTCGACCAGTGGGTATTAAAATACTCTCCACGAAAACTAAAAAACTTGAAGAAAGTTTAGCAGTGTTCAGGTAAAAGATATCGTGGTATTTGCTTATTTAGCAATGATGAATATAGATCAATATAAAAACAGTGTTCTTTTCCGCGTTGTTACTCAAGCTGTTCAAATGTTTAAATAGAGGGGGTTAAGTGGGCTAAGCTCGAACGAAACGATAAATGCGCGGTCACACTGTTCGCAAATGTTATCAAAACTTCCAATTTTTTTGAGGCGAGCGGTCGCAGCGCGTCGTTGTAAACAACAATTCCAATAAACGAACGCGAAACACAGCGTGCTGCTAAAACAATTCGCTGCTAGGCGGTAGGCGGATAGATGCGCTAATCGGCCAGCCTTATCAACAAAGAGTCAGCTCGCGGATCAAGGGGGCAACGAGCGTGGAAATTTCGATTTTTGCCTGCGACGCTGCTGGTTTTTTGTTGCAAAATTACCCCAATTACCGCGCAATGTTCGAAATACCATTACAATATTCCTCAAGAATTGTGCGCGATTAAAAATGTATAAATAAATTTTGTTTATTTCCGTGCGGTTCATGGCAGCGGAAGCGGCGGCGGCGGCGGGCGATTGATTGCCAATTTCTCTGAGTTTTTTTTTTTTTTTGTTTCTCGCTGGCATGTTACGCGCCTTTCATTCACGAGAACGTTTGTGTGTTTGTGCGTGTGTGTGGGTGACGTAAACAAATGCAAAAAGCGAATGAGTGTGTGCAAGAATTCGAAAAATGCGCTTCTCGATTCACGTGCCAAATAGCAACAAAAGCAAAAACAAAAACAAAAACAACAGCATCGAAAGTGGAAAAAGCAGCAGCAGCCGCAGCAACAAGAAACAACCGTAATTCCAGTGTTTGGCAGCAGCAGCGGAAGCAGGGAAATTGACATAACTCTTTATTTTTCGCATTGTGTTCTCTGCGCCTCTGTTTTGGGCCTCACATTCGTTGCATTTACCAGCTGTGCGAATCTGCAGTGGTAGTGGTGTGCCTGCCCCCGTACATGTGTGTGCGCGCAACACGTTTGTGTTTGTGCTGCTGCGTAAGCGAAGCCAGCGTTGACGTCGGCGTCGACAGCGTCCGTGCGTCACAGATGCGACAGGTAAAAAGAAGAGGCAGCAGCCAGCAAAGGCTTGCCCAATTTCCCCTTCCCCCTTCACCCTTCTATTTCCCCTTGAAATTTACATAGTTAATTACTTACCCAACACGAGTGCTCCAAATTTGAGTCTGTTACTGTAACTGTAACTGTCAATGTGCTCTGAATAATTCCGAAGATACGAATACGAATACGAAAATATGGAGATACATATTGTAGATATGAAGCTTATCAATTAGTGGCCGGCGACGGTCGTCGGGCGGCGGGCGGCGGGCGTCGGTAACGACAGCAGGTAATTTTCCACACGCAGCACAGACTCTGCACCGTGCCGCACCGCACCGCAGCCAGGGCATCGATTCTTTTGTTTTCGACTGCCAGTGGGATTCTGTGGAAGTGATTTCTGTAATTAGAGTGATTTCTTGGGCAGGAATTTCTGCAGTGAAGCGATGCGATCCCTGTGGCGAGGGCATTTCCCTAGCTCCGAACACGTGCGTCTACGAGCAAGTGGGCAAGTGGGGGAGGAGGGTATGGGGAAACCTTTCTCCTTCTTGTATTCTTTATTCGCAATGGCTCGTCAAGAGGAAGTTTCGGATCCCTCTCGCCTATATCTCCCTCTCTCGTGCCACCTTTATCCCCCATTTGTACCCGACACATGAATGATCGTTCACTTCCCACGGGAGTGATTGGTCTGCAAGGGTATGTCATGCTTCGGCTAGCCCAAAGCTTGCCTCGCTCTTTTTCTTACCTTCCTTCTTAGTTCTTCGTTCGTCACACGTTACGCTGGCGTCGGTCGGCGAGCGTCGGGCGTCTGTCTTCGGGCGTCTGTCGTCGTGGCCCCTAACTTGTCTTGGAACTTGGTCCAGCAGCAGCGACGGCGGGGACATGGGGCTGGCTGGACTGGACTTCGGACGTCAGTTGCTTGCCGCGCTAGTTTTTCCACATTTGTCGGAGATACCCTTTCCGAGAGCGAGAGAGCGAGACAGAGGTAGGAAGAGTCGCAGGGGCAAAGGCTGTCCATTAGGTACTCCCTCCACATGATATCGTTCGTTCCGAAGGTGCCGCTTAAATCCCTCTAAATACGATATGATATACGATATTCCCATAGGTTCTCCTCTTTCCTGGTCCCCCTCGCATAGTTTCAAGACCAAATTTTGTTCATTCTTTCGATGAAGTCTTTGAATACAACTTTCTGGTATTCCATTCAGCATTATTTATTTGTTGTTTTGACTCTTTTCCCAAGCAATCAACAGAGAGAGCATTCCATATTTGTTGTGCCTTTCCCCTTTCCCCCTTTCCCCCTAATCATTCTTGTTTATTATTGTCCCCCCATTCTCTTTGTTCCCCTCCCTCCCTTTCCATCTCCGTCTCTCCTTTGCTCTGTGCTTGTCGTTCATGGTCAGAAAATTTATTGGTCAACATTTTATCTTTGGCCCCCAGACCGGACCGGACCGGGCCGGACCCCCGTCGGAGGGGCAGCCGGCAACCGGCAACCGGCGGCACCCACGTAGAGCAGAGCTCTAGATTCTAGCGACTCCTTTCCCATCGTGCAACTTGTTTGCTTCTCTCTCTCTCGCTCTCTTTCTTGGGGGAACACACGCCCACACACACACACATATGGGAGAAGAGAAACTTAACGCTTCAACACGCCACAGATTTTCCACCGAAATCCACATCCATTGGAGTACATATTAGGGAAAACGGTGTGGCATGGGACAGGGGGCAGGGGGCATGTGACAGGGGGCAGGGGGCATGGGGCATTTTGAAACACACACACAAATATTTTCAACATAAGTTATGGGCATTTTTTGCTCTCCCTTTGCGTATGAAAAGTTTATGGGAAATATCTTAATTTTTATAGACCTCGTGGACTCATGGCAGCATAAACCCCATAAATTATCGGTGAGGAATGGAATGGCATGGCATGGAATGGTGGAATGGAATGGAATGGAATGCCATCCGCTTTTCCCGTGTGTGTGTGTGTGTGTGTGTGTGTTTTACGCGGTTTCTTGTTGTTGTTTTCCGGCATTTCTGGGCGCATACTTTACGTGACTTTCTGCCTCCGTTTATCGTGCGGCGGATTGTTTATCTTTGGTGCCGTGCCGCCGCCGCCTCACAGATACAATATTTTTTCGGTGCTTGTGCCTGGCTGCCCCCCACCCCCACTCTGGTCTGCTCTGCTCTCTTGTGGCAGTGGCATTCGCATCCAACAAATTGGCAATTGCTGTGGAATGGACGACTCCAACAGCATCCAACTCCGAAAAGCGTTGCAGCTGCCTTTGCCGCTGCCTCTGGCTCTGGATCTGCCTCTGCCTCTGGCGGGACCCCGAAGAAGGCCTTCCCTCTGCAGACCCTTAACCCTTTGTTGCCCACGATGATAAACGATGGCTTGTTAATAAATCAAATGGAAAATTCCATGCGTGTGCGTGTGTGCGTGTGTCTGTGTGTCTGTGTGTGTGCAGAAAGTGGAAAAAGTTGTTGAAAGTCTTTCTCTTAGTCTCTTTCTATTATACACTGAAAGAAAGCCTATTTTCAATCTTCCACCCCGAAACATTCATCGATGGCTCCCAAAGTCGCTCCAGAAATACAATTTTCCGCCAAGAGAGCGCTGCCCTGCCTTTCCCTGCCTTGCCTTTCCCAAGGAAAATCAAATGGGCGGCTATTGGAGGTATTTCGATCGCGAGGACCTTAAGGGCCCATTGTCTTCTTTATTTGCCGCTCGCTTTTCTCGGTGTACCGTTTGCTTCCTGCCTGGGGATGCATGCCACATGATTGGCTCTCTGTACTCAGCAGCAGCAGCGCAGGATACACTCGTATTTCATATGCCTTTCGGTAGATTTATGAAGTGCGCCCAGTCGCCTGGAGGAGAGGAGGCAGAGTCCTTTACTGCTGAAGCTCCTGCCCCTGCTGTCCCTGCTGCCCCTGCTGCCTCTCCTGTATCCTGTATCCTGCCTCGTGCTTCGAGCTTCGTGCCTCTGCTGCCTTTGCGGCATTCTAATAATTTTTTATTGTTGTCGCTTAAGTGGCCCATTGTACAGCTGGCAACATATTGTGTGCTTGCAACATGCTCCTGCCACTTCTGCCACTTGATATATGCTACGTTTTTGTTTGATTTTTTGGAGCTGGAGGCAAACATCCAGCCCCAACCAGTTGTCCAATTTTCCTTTTTTTTTGCATCTCATGCCATGCCCTCGTGGCGCTCAAGGGGGGCGGAGTGGCTCTCTGATGGAATACTCTTATAATTAGACGCTCTGATTAGTGGATGGAACCGGAATAGCGGCCCCTGAGGATTCCTGTGCTGCTGCATTGATGGGAGGAAAGATCAGCTGGTGGAGATCGTCGTGGGGCATCTATGGGGCATCATTCAAGGTAGATCTTATGCAGATTCCGAGGGTCTCCTAATACTTCGTCTAGGAACCCCTCTTCCCGCATCCCCCTTCGGTTGAGCTCTGATCCTGGAAGTCGAGAGCCTGGAGTCCATTCTTCATGCCACATCGGCCCTCCTCTCCCTGCCAGTGGCTGTGGCAGTGGCTGTGGCAGGCAGCTCTGACAAATCTCGTTTGATGCGGCTTAAGATGATGATGCATTGAGTGCCCCAGTTGTGGGCCCCATCCATTCGTTCATTCATTCGCGTTTCTTTCATGCAGCAGCGGGTCTCGAGGTCTCGAGGTCTCGTGGCCTCGTGGTCCCCACTCATGGATGGATGCGGCTTAGTCATTATTTTGTGTGCCCCCGCGTGCACACCATCGAAAGTGGGGGCCCAACGGAGGAGCTCGCTTGCTCAAGTCCTAGAAAAGAGTGCTGCCCCTTCATCTCCCCGCTCCCCGCTTCCCGCTCCCGGATGAAGGATGAAGGAGGTCAGGTCCCGTCTTGTGTTTAATAAATGATTTGCTGCAGCAGCAGCGGCAGGCTTCTCCATAGAAGCTCCTTATTTGTGTTTCTTTTTATCCCCACTGTGATTATGATTTCGCCGAAGAGACAAAGGCAAAATAATGCCAAATAATCCGCTCGCAGGAGAGCAGAAAAGGTCGACCCGCCCCGCCAGTGGCGACCCCATTTGGGTCTCGTTTTGGGGTTCGTTTCGTTAACTGAATTTATAAATAATCTGCCACTTTTCTATCTTCCCTGTGCCTCTGTCTCCCACTTCCATCGTTCCCTTCGTGGCTCTCCTCCAAGCCGTCCGTCGCGTGATCGTTCCATCCCGTTCCATTCCCGCTGCCCATGGCTAGACTGGGACAGACATCCGTCCTGCTCCATTCCAGGGGATCTCTCTCTCTCATTTGTCGCTCTTCTGGCCCTCCACAGCCGCCTTCCCTGCGCCCTCATTAACCCTCTAGTGCCTCGGGCCCCCCCGCCCACAAATTCTATTGCCCCGCGCCAGTGCTGATGCATATAACAGGATTATATCTATCGATTTATTTCTAAGCCCGCATTGGGATTGATTTCCACCATCCAACAGTTTTTGGAATCTGCGAATGTTTTGTGTTTTGTGCTTTGTGCTTTTGCTCTTCACTTTTTTATTATTATTTTTTGGTTTTTGTGTGGGTTCCCAGCGCTAATTAGCAGCAGCACAGATTCTGTAGAATTTTCTGTTCTATGAGATTTGTTCAACGCGGATTCCCGCTGCTGCCGCCCCCGCTGCCGCCGCCTCTGCCACCGCCGCTGTGCTAATGACTATGCTAATAATTGCTTTTGTTTCGGTGGTATCGCCGCCTGAAACTGCCACTGCCACTGCCACTGCCACTGGCACTGGCACTGCCACTCCTAGTGCTGATGATGTGGCTGCCACAGCTGCCACTGTCCGTCTGTCCGTCCGTCCTCTTTTGTTTGAGGATTCCCAATAAAAGCAGCAAAAGCGCGCGAATGCCGTCCGTTTCTCCGGGCAGTCTGCAGTTTTCGGTGTGGATCTCATTTCATCGGAATTCCCCTCGTGAATAGTGTTTTCTAGAATTTATACACTCAACGGAAGGGCCAATGATTGGATGAATCGATGTTTGTGCCTCCAAAAG